CTTTGTGAACACATCCCTTCTTGAAAGAGTTTCAATATCGGTTTTTATGGTAAAAACATGTACGAAACATAACATTTCCTCGTATTTACTTAGTTTCTTTTTGCCCTTTCTTCTTTTGGCCCTCTCATTTCCCCAGAAAGTTTATTTGATCTAAAAAATAGCTTAAAGCCAAAATGCCACCGTAATCCATTTATAAACACCAAAAAAACAATCAAATAACGTTCATTTACATTCATTCATTTACACATCTCATAAGAGCCAATTTTTGTTGAAAAAGCCCAATTTTCCCTTGAAAATCTCAATTTCCTTTCGGAAATCTATAAGCAGAATATTTGTTGCGCAATTGTTTTTCGAAATCAATTTTTCTTTTGCTTTTTTATTCCCCCTCCACCCCCGCTTAGATGGAGATTTGGAGTCGAAAAAAAAAGAGAATTGAACTCAAGTTTTTCGAGTTTTTTTTTGTATTTTGTACCCATGAAGACAAAAATGCTTGGAGAGGAAAAAGATTGGACAAAAAATTGAACAAAAACTTGAACAGAAAACTGGACAAAAAACTGGACAAAAAACTGGTACTTTCTTAGAAAAAAAATGTAGCTCTGGCTCTGGGTTTTTTAGCAAAACAATATCTCGTTCTAGCCTATTAAAGGGGACTTTTTCAATGAAAGTAATGAGTCAGCTTTAAAGCTCTATAAATTTGTCTAGAGAAAAGGATCGATTAAACATTTAAAAATGAACAAAAAGTTTTATGGGCTTTACCATCACTTCTTTGTTATGCGTTTTCTTGAAACCAGTACTAACATTTCGTTAGATTTTGGCTCTTTTTTGACACAGTAAATTTAAGGCTTAGGCTTAGGCTTAGGCTTAGGCTTAGGCTTGGACTTAGGCTTAGGCTTGGACTTAGTGCGAAGGCTAACGGCGAGCGCCTCGCACTAGGTCTATTTGGGTTTGGGCTGAACCCCCATTTTCCGTTAGGCTTAGGCTCATGGCTTAGGCCATGAGGTTTCAAAAATAAACTCAATACTGAAGACTAAGCCTAAGCCTAACAGAAAATGGGGGTTCAGTCCAAACCCAAATAGACTTAGTGCGAGGCGCTAACCGCTAGCCTTCGCACTAAGTCCAAGCCTAAGCCTAAGCCTAAGCATAAGCCTTAAATTTGCTGTGTTAGGCCATGCGGCTTCAATTATCCCTAAAAACAAAGATGATTTCAGAAGCTAGTTTTTAAGATAAAACTTAAACGTAGACAAAAATCTAGCGAAAGTCCTCTTCCTCTTTCCCCACATTTCCCTGACGTGACTCAGTGATCTCAAATGATTGCCAATATCCGTTGATTCTAGATTTCCTCTCAAAAAGTATAGTGATTTCGCATTTTCGTTTAAAATCCACCCTCACTTTTCTCATCGCTAATGATTTCCGGGGGAAAGCAGAGGAAATTCACAGCAAAAGAAATGAGATTGGACTGGTGCTGGGTGAAAAAATGGAAAATGAATATTTAGGAAATAAAAGGGATAATTTTACGAATAAAAGAGATACGAAATTGAACACAATTTCATTTCGATGTTAACTTTGAGCCGTTGATTTACGCAATAAATTCAAGTCAAAAAACGCTCAAAAAAAAACCCCCCAAATTAAAATTAAACCCCTCAACCCCTTTTGGCTCTTATAGAATCGGCTATGCTGATTCTAAGTCTGTAAAAATTACCTCCAAAAACCCAAGCAATCGCAAGAAAGCTGGCATGGAAAATTCCCATAAATTTCGGACTTTTCATGGGACTGCCACAAAGATATAGCGGCTTTGGTGGTAAGGCTGAACAGCCCCGGTGGTCAAATGGATAGTGTGCTGGCCTGCTGAACGTATGAAGTTTCTTTTTTGTTGGGGGAAAAGTTGGGGATCAAAAACCGTAAAGCGAACCAAATCGCGTTTCGTTCTCGCGTTTCATTCTAAACAGGGCGGAGCCGAAATCCCCTATCTTACTAGCTATTTTTTGGCGTTACCCAGGAACTTTGAGCTTTGAGGCCTTTGAGGTCACACCGAAACGGGCAGAATTCGATAAAGTGTTTGGTTTGGTGTGTCTAATGTCTAAAATTGCTCTTTCTTTTGGCACCAAATGCAAATATGTATGAGGAGCTAAATTTTGCACAACGCTTTCCTCTGAAGTGAGACGTGAGGTGGCTTGAAGAGGTTCAAAAAACGATATGAAAAGTGATACACTTGTTGAACTAGTTTACCGCTTTAGGAACATCGTTAAAAGTAGTAAAAGAGTGCCTAAAACATCAATATTTAATGAAAAGACATCAGAAAAGAGTTTTCCAAAAAAGCAAAGAGAATTGGAAAGGGGAGGATTCGAACCCAAGCCAAAAAAAAGTTAAAAGAGCTCAGCAAGCTAGCACACTATCCACCAGCCCACTAAGGCCATTGAGCGAGACCACCAAAGCCATTATATCTTTGTGGCGGTCCCATGAAAAGTCCGAAATTTAAGGAAATCTTCTATGCTAGATTTCTTGCTATTGCGTGGCTGTTTGGAGTTAGTTTTTACAGATTCAGGATCAGCATAGTTGATTCTATAAGATCCACATAGGCTCGAAGCGATTCCGAACTTCAAATTGGGGTCATTTGGGGTCAGGAATTGTCCGGAATGGCCATGTTGAGCGGCCATTGCTGGGCTTTACTTTGTGAGCACATCCCTTCTGGTGCACTCAGTTCTTCAATCTCACTGGAAAATCGAGAATCGAGTGCGCTAGAAAGGGTGTGTTTACATTGAAGCAAAAAGTACACCACTAAAACAAGTCTAGGTTTCGTTTGGCCTAGAATTTTGGTTTAGAACAATTCTGATTATTTGGGAGCTGTTTGTGCTTCAGAAGAGACTAAATGAATCCTCTTTGGCGCAAGTCAATTATCGTTTTTTGCAGTAAAGCCTGGTTGTCACGGCGAGCCAATGTCACGAGAAAGCAAAGCCTGATTTTACATTGAAGCACAAAAAACAAACCTAAAATCTACCATACTCTTTCAATTCTGAATTAAAAAGAAAATAAAAAGGCTTAATTCGAATAAGCAAACTTCGAATAAGCTTAGAAATTGTTCGCCTTATACACTCATTTATATTTTGACTGAAAATTCTCAAAGCAGAAACTTGTAGCTGTGTCTAGAAAGCAATTTTTGCGTCAAAAGATTGATTCACTTGTTATGGCTGTATCATTTTCGAACTCTCATCTCGTTTTAATAATATTTCTTTATTGGATAAACGTTTGCGAAATTTATGTTTAGACTGTTGACTCAGCTACTCTTTCTAATGGTTTTAGTAAGAAACGAAAAGGGAAAAATAAAATTGTGTGGTTTCAACTTTACTTGCAAGACATCACAGACAGTTAATTAAACAATACTCTCTTGCAGAGCATTGTTTAGAAGAAGGAAGTTTGAAATATAATAAATCCGGCTTAGCTTTTACTGCACCGCTATTTTTTTTAAAAATCATGGCCAAGTCATGTGAAAAGCCAGGAAAGAAGCAAGATTTTACTTTTTTGGCTTAAAGTTCAAAACACAAAAGAATTATTCCAGTCGAGGTCCAAGCCAAATCGTAGTTTTGTAGAAAAAAACAGTCAAATTTATGGCAAGAATTTCTCTCAAAAGTTTGAGCATAGTGACACCAAAGGAAAGGCTACGGTACCAATAGTATAAAAGGGAAATTTGCTGTTGGGAAATCATTCTTCTCTTCTCCCCGAAAGTGATTGGTGATCGTTGCTGCCATATTTTAAGCTTTTTGAGTTGTTCCTTGTTAGAATAGACTTTTATATCTTTTTAAACGCATATTTTACTAGTTTTAGACATTGTTTTGGTGAAAAATGAGCTATTTTTGTTCTACGACACGTTTTTGCTTAAAAACAGTGACTGTTTAAATCTTTCGTGTAAATTTTAGCTCCTTTTAGATGGAAAGCTTTGATTATTGTTGTTTATGCACTAAAAATCATCACAAGTTTTAGAGAAATCCAAGATTTTAACAAACTTTAGCTAAAAACCCGCATTTGTCCCCACCTTATTGATTGTTTTTCAGTGGTGTTGTTGATTGTTTTCAACTTTTTCAGTGATTCCTTGTTAGAAGAGACACGTTTTTGCTTAAAAAGCAACTATTTAAATCTTTTGAGTCAATTTTTGCTCCTTTTAGATGTAAAGCTTTGATTATTGTGGTTTATTACTAAAGATCATCACAATTTTTAGAGAAATCAAAGATTTTATCAAACTTTAGCTAAAAACCGGCATTTGTCCCCACCTCTTTGATTGTTTTTGTTCTGTAGGCAACTTTTCTGCCATATATTTACTGATTGTTCTTTTCTAATCTTTCAATTTTCAGGAAGAGTGGCCGAGTTTTCATTCGAGATGCCCAATATTCTCAACTACCCGATGGGAAAACTCTACTACGATCTGGTTCTCGAAGTAATCGTTGAATTGGACCCAAAAGATGTGCCACTTGTTTCGTGCATTGGCCGGAGACAGTTGAAATTAACAATTGGATCAAGAACTTTCCTGAAATTCGTCATGTCCACGAATGAAACAAGACTTTCATCAGGGATACAATGATGGAAATGCTGAGAAAGCACAGGGTTGTGTGTTGTGTTGGTGATCTTGCTCTTGATGGTCCAATTCATTGCTATTGGAAAAGAATCGACGGGGATCGTGACTGTATTTATGTTGTGAATGGTTACTTTTTCTTCGCCGAATATGTTTCATCAATTCAAGGAAAATTTATCCAACCTTATTTGTTGATGCATTGAATACTTTGTATTTTTCAGATTACTGTTATGACAGCATTTACGTATTTGGTCCAAATAAATTTTGCAAAAGTGATCAATTAATTTTGAGAGGATGAAAAATTCCGAAAGGTTTTTTATGTTTGCGTTGAGACTTGTATTGGCAAAAATATTATATCAACGGAGTAAAGGATATTTGTTAATGCTCTTTGTTATTTGTGTTCGTTTTGATCGAACTAATCTTTCAATTTTCAGGTCGAATGGCGAAGCTCCCATTCCCAATGCCGAATCTTCTTAGCTTTCCAATGGACAAGCTTTGTTACGATTTAAAACTGGAAATCCTGGAACAGATGGATCCGAAGGACATCATTGAATTGATGAAGAGCAACAAGAAATTCCGCGCGATTCTCATCGATCGACCATGGACTATTTTTGGAGAACATGTACATTCGATTATTTTCCGCTCAATGCACAGTGTCGAGATCAAGAAACACCGAAACTCTTCGATTTTCATCGATCTCTCTTGCGAATCAGTTCTCTTGAAGAGAATCACAAGCTGCATTCAGCTTATCCGAGCAGACAGCAAGATCGAGAGTAATACCGAAAAAGAGACAGCATTGGAAGTTCTCGGAAACTTGGTTTCTCTTGGGGAAGTCGAAACGATGTTAGACCGTTCAGCGATGGGCGAGTTTTTTGCAATCTTCAAAGGAAAGGTGACCGAGCGAATCTTTTTGGATCTCACGTGGAATATTGACAATGAAAATAGACGCTATCTGACGAATCTTTTCGAAAGTCATCTTGACAATTGCAAGCAGATTTTAATGAACGGACGTGGAAGCGAATTCTACTTCCTTCGACAGGTTCTTCTGAAAATGAACTTCGAGATAATTGCGTTTAATGTTGCCGAGGAACGTGATCCTATCCAGAAGTCAGCGGATCTCGTAGCCGGTTGGATAGCCAGCAGGGGGATACCGAGTCGAAATCAATACCCTGCAATCTTGCTCACATTCACGCCAAACAACCAGCTCGACAATTTCCTCTCTGCAACTTCCGGACTGCAACAAATTGGAGAGTTGAGCTCAATCAGGGAAACTCGACAATTGATGGTCGAAATGTGCAGAAAGTATCCGATCTCAGACTTTCAAAATATGTACGAGCATTCTCACGACGTCTACAAGCAGAAGATAGACGATGAACGCGATTGTATCTACGTCATTTCGACGTTGAACTGTAGATATATGGGTCAGAAGTTTTGTGCACCTCTGCAGTTCTTTGCCAAATACGTGCCCGCTGAGCAGGAGCCAAAAAGGAAAAAAAGAAGGAAAAAATTACTTGCCTAAAACAAATTACAAAAATTATTTGCCACTCTGATTAGATTTTTTTGTTAATTTTTGTTTCTCTTGTTGTTTTTCCGAAGTTTCGTTTGGATATTATAAATTTTTTTTGCTTTGAAAGCGTTTTAATTCGATTCGTGGCCAAATGAACCATTGAGAATTTTGTTTAGCTCTTTCACCTATATATATATTTTTATAGAGAACAAAATTTTGTTGTCAAAGTAAAATAGTTGGATAAATTCTAGTTATCGATTGATTTAGATATAAATTCAACTACTTTAGCAACAAAATTTCCCCAATCGAACTAATCTTTAAATTTTCAGGTAGAATGGTGAAACTTCCGCTCCCACTACCGAATCTTCGCAACTCCCCAATGGACAAGCTTTGTTATGATTTGAAGTTGGAAATCTTTGAACGAATGGATCTAAAGGACGTCATCGAATTGATGAAGAACAAGGTGAAATTTCGATCGATTCTCATCAATTGGCCATGAATGGTGGTCGGAGAACACGTCGATTCGATCATCTTTCGTCCAGGCTATGTTGTTGAGACGAAATTGTCGCGGATGTTTGATCTCCGTTTTGAAATCCCCTCGTCAAAAAGATTCGTCACTGTTCGAACTTTTCTGATCCTGCATGTAGACTATTCGCTCACGGATAAGAAAACGAAAATGATCTCGGGAATGCTCGAATGCTTAGCTTCGGTTCAGGAGATCCGACCCGTCAAAGACTATGAGGCTCTTTGCAAATACTTGTTGATATTCAAGGGAAGCATCGTTAGTTGATTTCACTTGGATCTCATTTGGTATCAATGGAAAAAAGATGATGAGAATTATAGCTCTCCGATGAACCTAATCCAAAACAGGATCAACAATTGCAAGATCTCGTTGAAAGGACGTGGTGATGGGATTTACTTTTTTACAAATTTCTTCTGGAAACGAAAGTCGGAATGATATTTTTTAATGTCAGCAATGAGCGACTCCGAAGGTGATGGGTTGGATTGTCACCAACAGGGGGTGCTTTACGGTTAACGGGGGGCTAGTTTTTGGCCAATTTGCAGCTCATTTTTAACCACCTTAAAGTTGTCAGATCAGAAAGTTTTAAGAAGATTTAGATAGCTTAGAACGTCAACTTTTAGAAACTATGTCTTCCATCAAAAGTTGTTAACAAAAACCTATCTAAAATCGGGCTGCAAAATGGTCAAGAACTCGCCCCCGCTCCCGAATTCTATGGCTCATGTGATTTGACCAGCCTATCCAGTTGACCTTCCCTTGTGAGTCTGGCAATTGGAACTCGAGTTTGATTGTACTAAGCTTTTAGATGAATCCGGAAACTTATTATTAATGATTAAAATGAGTGAAAATTGGGGTTTTGGTTTTCAGATCGTGAAAGGGTAAGAAGAAAAATTGGATATTTGCAAATTTTTTTTCTAAACCGTGCCTTCTTTCTCTTTGTACCGTAATCTTGTCTCATTTTTTATTCAATTTATCCACTTTTATGGTCGTATTCTGCGAGTTGTTCACAGGGATATCGAAAGATACAAAAAGTGAATAGTTTGGATAAATATAGAGACAAGATTACGGTAGACGACGACCAAAAATCTATTCAATTTAAGCTAAACTGTGGATAAGCTACCGTAACCTGGCCTAGTTTTTCGGCAATATAAGCCGCTTTTTTTGGACTTTTTTTTGTCCCTCTTTCTCTTGAGATTTTTGTGAGTTTTCCCGAGATATTTGGCTAAAAATGTATCGGAAATATGTTTTAAATCTGGCGTAAATCTTTCATAAATTGTATTCAAAGGTTTGCTTGTGTTCTGAAAGCTTAGAAATTACACAGAAAGTAGACTAGAGTCGTGACAAAAGGGGAAAGGGGATACGCTTTAGGAAACGGTTTAGGAAAAGGTTTAGGAAACGGTTTAGAAAACGGTTTAGATGAGAGCTAAAACAGGGTTGTTCCAGAAGCCGAAAGTCATCCTTGTCTTTTGCTTTTTCTTGGTCAAAGCGGAATTTAAAACTGAATTTGAGTTGGCCCAAAGCCAACCGTTTGCTTTAACTTTGGCTTTACTGACTTAAGAAAATTGGTGTCAGGGAACGGTTTTGTAGCATCAACTCTAATCATTACTGGTCGACGAATGCTCGATTTCGGCAGCTGAATGACTGTCGGTCTCGAGGAAAACCGATGATTTCTGTCGTCGTTCTCGGCCGAGTGAATGACGACGTTGTTCCCATCTAGAAAATGGATAATCTACAGGGTGGCGCATAATTATAGGTGCAGCGGCTTATCATCTATTATTATTAACTCTCTTGATCTCCTGAAAGCTGAAATTTTCATTATTCTCTTCTCTCCGAAAGTTATTGGTGATCTTTTCTGCCATATTTTGAGCTTTTTGTGCTTTCCCTTTTTAGAATAGACTTTTATTGGGTTGGGGAGAATGAGTCGGCGCCAAACTTTAAAGGGAGTTTTCAATTGTGCACAATGCGAGTGCAACAAAGAAAGGAGAGATCTCGTTGAACGGGCGACTGTTCAAGGGACCGGCGATGCTGCCCCATTTGGTGGGAATGTTGTTCAGATTCAGAGTCTGGGAATCGATTGCGTTGGGGGACACCAAAGGAGCGTACCTTCAAGTTGCTCTGAACAACGCCGACAAAGAGCTGCTTCGCTTTGTCGTGCCACACGACTGGAGTCTACCAATCTCCTCTCAAAACAGCATGCACCTGCGGTTCAAGAGATTGAACTTTGGTCTCGTTTGCTCAGCTTTCTTGCTGGCTGGAGCGTTGAAACTGCTTTCGAAGAAGATGGAGAAATTGTTGAAGAGATCTTGAAAAATTGCTACGTGAATAATATTATGACCATCGGAGATAGCACTGAAGAGGCGGTTGGGAAGTTGAAATATGCGAAGAAACGACTAGCCGATGCCTCAATAGAATTGAGAGATCTCGTGTCCAATAATCATGAGCAAAATGTGGGTGGACATTCGCTGAACAAGTAATGAAGATGTTGGGATTGAACTGGCGAATCTATGACGAGATTCTCGAGTCGAAATTCCAGTGCTCAATTGGAAGGACATGACCAAGCGAAAGTTCCTCTCGTGGATCGCTTGTGTGTATGATCCGCTTGACTTGCCGAGTCCAGTTTTCTTCAAATACCGATTGATGTTTCGCGAACTATGCCACACATCGTTGAAGTGGGATGAGAAGCTCCCAGATGCACTGGCTCTCAAGCCGCAAGAGCTTGAGACAAGAACGAGTAGCATGAAAATTCAAGTGCCACAAAAAGTTTTGCCTAAGAGTGACGATGATCTCGAGCTACAAGTTTTTGTCGATGCTTCGAAGGTTGGATTCGGGATGAACGCCTACCTGAAGCCGCAAGATGCAGAACATACTCCTCATTTGCTCTTTGCCAAGTCCAAGTTGGCTTCCGAAGGTTGCAGAACAGCACCCAAACTCGAGTTCACGGCCGCTAATGCGGGAACAAAAATGGCGGATTTCATTGAAGAGCACGTTAACAAACCGATAAAGAAAGTCATCATTTGGTCCGATAACCAGTCGGTATTGCATTGGATCGCTGGTCAAAAATGGGAGACATTGGGGAAATACGCAACCCAAAAGTTGCAAACGATTCTGAAGTACCCAGCAGAATTTCGCTACATTCCGATAGACTGGAACCCTGCGGATGTCTCATCGAGGGGATGCAGACCCGAAGAACTGGCCGCAGACGTACAATGGTGGCACGGGTCAAGTTTCTTAAAGCTGAAGAAAGGACAGTGGCCACAGTTTGAGCTCCCACCATTCGAGAATGCGCCATGTGCGGAGATGACGGAAACGGTAGCGGTGAGCAGGAGTGAGCCACCGTACGAGTCAAGAGTGGATCCGGCGAGTGTGACCTCGTGGGTGGAATTGACACAAAGACTCGGGAAAACGGTCAAAAATGCGAGAGATACAGTTGGAGAGGTGATGCGAAAGGGTGAAATCGAAGCGTTTCGGGAAGCACAAAAGAGAAATCCACCCTCCAGCTGCACGTGCCGATCGCTCGCTCTGTTCAAAGACGAGGCTTGTCTTTGGAGGGCAACGTCACGAACACTGAATCGGGAGATCAATGGTGAAGCGGAGCATCCACTTTTCATGTCAGGCAACGACCCAGCTGCAAGGCTGTACGCTCAAAACATTCATGTGCGTTTGCAGTGCGCCGGAGGGGCTACAATTTTGGCGGAGATCCGAAAGGACGTCTGGATTCCAAAGGGCGGATCAGTGGTCAAAGGCGTGATCAAGGGCTGTGATGTGTGCAAACGATTTGGTGTGACGCCATTCAAGTTACCGAACTTGCCACAACTCCCTAAGGAAAGGTTGCGTGCGATGACACCTTTCGAGAGCACGGGGTGCGACTTGGCGGGACCGTTTCGCACCTAGAAGAAGCGGTAGAAGACGGGAAAGTTTGGATTTGTCTCTTCAATTGCCTAGCCACAAGAGTAGTGCATTTTGAACTTCTTTTTTCGTTGAGCGCTGAAGAGCTTGTACGTGGAACCAGAAGATTCATTGCAAGAAGAAGCTGCCCTAGACTGTTTATGAGCGACAACGGAACAAATTTTCGGGCGACAGGCCCGTTCATTGAATCGTGGACACCCGAAGAGCACGAGAAGTACCACAAGTACACGATGGAAGAGAAAATGGTATGGCGGCACATTCCAAGTTTATCTCCGTGGCAAGGCGGATTTTACGAGCGAATGATTCGTTTGGTTTGTTGAAAGACTCGTTGAGACAAGCAATCGGGACCGCGTTGTGAAGACTTCCGTACCTTGGTGGTTGAAGCTGAAGCGGTGGTGAACAGCAGGCCGATCACGTACTTGACTGAAGAAGATTGCGTGCTGCGTCCAATCGATTTCTTGATGCCAAACTCAAAGACGCTTATGAAGAGGGGGTGATCTCCACGGCCAAGCAACCGCTACGAGCCTCATGGAAGAGAGCAGTCAATCGACTCGATTATTTCTGGAAGGTCTTCAATGAGGACTACTTGCTCGCATTGCAAACTAGAGGGACGAGAGGCTTGAAGCAGCCATGTGGAGCTATCAGGCGACAGCCAAGAGTGGGAGAGGTTGTGCTGGTGCACGAGGAAAACCGTCCTCGAGTTGCTTGGAGATGCGCTAAGATTGCGCGAATCATTCAAGGGGTCGACAACCAGGTCCGATCTGCTGTAATCGAGATGAAAAATGGTCGCCAATGAGCGATATTCGGTTTTGACCATTTCACAAGTTGGATGTCACGACATTGAAAAGAAGATCTTCCCCAATTTGAAACAAGTCGATGAGTTGGATGTGATGATCAAAGGTGATGATCGATGTTTGTTTGGATTATTTGGGGAGAAAACACAAGATTTGGTGTTGTTATCCTTTTGATTCTCTTGATTGGAGTTCAATTCATTGCTATTGGAAAAGAATCGACGGGAATTGTGACTGTATTTATGTTGTGAATGGTTACTTTTTCTTCACCAAATATGTTTCATCAATTCAACGAAAGTTTATCTAACCTTATTGTTGATGCTTTGAATACTTCGTTTTTTTTCAGACTACTGCTATGATAGCATTTACCTATTTAATCCAAATAAATTTTGCGAAAGTGACCAATTAATTTTGAGAGGATTGAAGATTTCGAACGGTACCTTTATGTTTGAGTTGATATTTGTATTGGCAAAGATATTATATCAACGGAGTAAAGGATATTTGTTAATGCTCTTTGTTATTTGTGTTCGACACTTTGTTATTGACAAAGATATTATATCAATGAAGCAAAGGATAATGCATTATTTATGTTCGTCTTGATCGAACTAATCTTTCAATTTTCAGGTAGAATGGCGGAACTCCCATTCCCAATGCCGAATCTTCTTGACTTCCTAATGGGCAAGCTTTGTTACGATTTAAAACTGGAAATCCTGGAACAGATGGATCCGAAGGACATCATTGAATTGATGAAGAGTAACAAGAAATTCCGCGCGATTCTCATCAATCGACCGTGGATGATTTTTGGAGAACATGTACATTCGATTATTTTCCGCTCAATGCACATTGTCGAGATCAAGAAACACCAAGGCTCTTCGATTTTCATCAATCTCCGTTGCCAATCAGTTCTCTTGAAGAGAATCACAAGCTGCGTTCAGTTTATCCGAAGAGATATCGAGAGTGATGTCGAAAAAGAGACAGCATTGGAAATTCTCGGAAAGTTGGGTTCTCTTGGGGAAATCAAAAAGATGTTAGACAATTCAGCGATGTGCGAGCATTTTGCAATCTTCAAAGGAAAGGTGGCCGAGCGAATCTTTTGGATCTCACTTGGTACACGTGGAATATGGACAATGAAAATAATCGCTATCTGACGAACCTCTTCGAAAGTCAGCTGGACAATTGCAAGGAGATTTCGATGAACGGACGTGGAAGCCAATTCTACTTCCTTCGGCAGTTTCTTCTGAAAACAAACGTCAGGATGATCGCGTTCAATGTTTCTGAGGAACAACCTCCTAACCAGAAGTCAACGGATCTCGTAGCCGGTTGGATAGCCAGCAGGGGGATACCGAGTCGAAATCAATACCCTTCAATCTTGCTCACATTCACGCCAAACAACCCGCTTGGTAATTTCCTCTCTGCAACTCCCGGACTGCAACGAATTGGAGAGTTGAGCTCAATCAGGGAAACTCTAGAATTGAGGAACGAAATGTGCAAGAAGTACCCGGTTCCAGGCATGTTCGTGGAGTCTCACGACTCCTACAAGCAGAAGATAGACAATGAACGTGATTGTATCTACATCGTTTCGACGGGGAGCTTTGGATATACACGTGGGCATTTTCCTCTGCAGTTCTTTGCCAAATACGTGCCCGCTCAGCAGCAGCCAAAAAGGATGGAATGAAAAAATTACTGGCCTAAAACAAACTACAAAAATTATTTGCCAGACTACTCTGATTAGATTTTTTTATTAATTTTTGTTTCTCTTGTTGTTTTTCTGAATTTTCGTTTGGATCTTATAAATTTTTTTCTTTGAAAGCGTTTTAATTCGATTCGTGGCCAATTGAACCATTGAAACTTTGTTTAGCTCTTTTATAGATATATATACTTTATAGTGAACAAAATTTTGTTGTCAAAGTAAAATAGTTGGATAAATTCTTGTTTTCGACTGATTTGGATATAAATTCAACTACTTTAGCAACAAAATTTACCCAATCGAACTAATCTTTGAATTTTCAGGTAGAATGGTGAAACTTCCGCTCCCACTACCTAATCTTCGCAACTCCCCAATGGACAAGATTTGTTACGATGTGAAGTTGGAAATCTTGGAACTTGGAAAAAAATTTTGTTGTCAAAGTAAAATAGTTGGATTTGTTGGTGCATTGAATACTTTGTATTTTTCAGATTACTGTTATGACAGCATTTACCTATTTGATCCAAATAAATCTTACAAAAGTGACCAATTAATTTTGAGAGGATTGAAGATTTCAAACCGTACCTTTATGTTTGCGTTGATATTTGTATTGATAAAGATATTATATCTATGGAGTGAAAGATAATGCATTATTTATTGTCGTTTTGATCGAACTAATCTTTCAATTTTCAGGGAGAATGGGGGAACTTCCATTTGAGATGCCCGATATTCGTAATTTCCCGATGGAAAAGCTTTGTTACGATTTGAAGTTGGAAATCTTGGAACTAGCATTTACCTATTTAATCCAAATAAATTTTGCGAAAGTGACCAATTAATTTTGAGAGGATTGAAGATTTCAAACCGTACCTTTATGTTTGCGTTGATATTTGTATTGATAAAGATATTATATCAATGTAGTAAAGGATATTTTTAATGCATTATTTATGTTCGTTTTGATCGAACTAATCTTTCAATTTTCAGGTAGAATGGCGGCACTCCCCTTCCCAATGCCGAATATTCGTAACTTTCCGATGGAAAAGCTCTCTACGATTTAGAACTGGAAATCCTGGAACAGATGGATCCGAAGGACATCATTGAATTGATAATGAACAATATGGAATTTAGAGATAGGATAAAAATAGAGACAAGATTACGGTAGATGACGACCAAAAACTTATTAAGCCAAACTCTGGATAAGCTACCGTAATCTGGTCTGGTTTTTCGGCAATATAAGCCGCTTTTTTGGACTTTTTTGTCCCTCTTTTTCTTCAGATTTTTGTGAGAAAGTTTTCCCGAAATTTTTGGCTAAAAATCTGTATCTGTGTTGTAAATATGTTTTGAATTTGGCGTAAATCTTTCATAAATTGTATTCAAAAGTTTGCTTCTGTTCTGAAAGCGTAGAAATGACACAGAAAGTAGACTTGAGTCGTGACAAAAGGGGAAAGGGGATACGCTCTAGGAAACGGTTTAGGAAACGGTTTAGAAAACGGTTTAGAAAACGGTTTAGATGAGAGCTAAAACTTGTTATGGCTGTATCATTTTTGAACTCTCATCTCGTTTTAATAATATTTCTTCATTGGATAAACGTTACGAAATTTATGTTTAGACTGTTGACTCAGCTACCCTTTCTAATGGTTTTAGTAAGGAAGGGGGAAGTTTCGAAAAAATAAAATTGTTTGCTTTCAACTTTACTTGCAAGACATAACAGACAGTTAATTAAACAACACTCCCTTACAGAAGTAAGTTTGAAAGATAATAAATCCGGCTTAGCTTTTATCGCACCGCTATTTGTTTTACAAAATCATTGCCGAGTCACGTGAAAAGTCAGGAAAGAAGCAAGATTTTGCTTTTTTGGCTTAAAGTTCAAAACACGAAAGAAGAAGTCCAGTCGAGATCCAAGCCAAATCGTAGTTTTGTAGAAAAAAAACAGCCAGATTTATGGCAAGAATTTCTCTCAAAAGTTTGGGCATAGTGACACCAAAGAAAAGGCTACGGTACCAATGGTATAAAACGGAAATTTTGCTATTGGCAAATCATTCTTCTCTTCTTCTCGAAAGTGATTGATGATCTTTTCTGCCATATTTTGAACTTTTTGAGTGATTCCTTGTTAGAATAGACTTTTATATCTTTTTAAGCGCATATCTTACTAGTTTTAAGCATTGTTTTGATGACAAATGAGCTATTTTTGTTCTACGACACGTTTTTGCTTAAGAAGAGCGACTGTTGAAATCTTTCTGAGTCAATTTTTGCTCCTTTTAGATGTAAAGCTTTGTTTATTGTTGTTTATGCACTAAAGATCATCACAAGCTTTAGAGAAATGAAAGATTTTATCAAACTTTAGCTAAAAACCGGCATTTGTCCCCACCTTGTTGATTATTTTTGTTCTGTAGGCAACTTGTGCCACATGTTCTGCCATGTGTTTACTGGTTGTTTTTTCTAATCTTTCAATTTTCAGGCAGGATGGCAGAACTTCCAGTCGAGACGCCCACTCTTCTCAAATTCCCGATGGGAAAACTCTGCTACGATCTGGTTTTGGAAGTAATCGATGAATTGGACCCAAAAGATGTGCCAAGGTCAGATCGTAGTTTTGTAGAGAAAAACAGTCAAATTTATGGCAAGAAGGCTTAAATTTAAAGGCTACGGTACCATTGGTATAAAACGGAAATTTTGCTGTTAGGAAATCATTCTTCTTATCTTTTCGAAAGTGATTGGTGATCTTTTCTGCCATATTTTGAGCTTTTTGAGTTGTTCCTTGTTAGAATAGACGGTACTTTGGTGGTTGCGAGGGGCCACTTTTATCCTGGCTTGGTTGGATCTAATGTTTTGAATGATTGTATTGGTACCTTTTATCTATTCTAGAGTAATCAAATATGCTTCATAGATTGGTGACTATTTTAGCAAGTTCTTGGTAATTCTAGCCTAAACTCATAGACTTTAACCATCAAACGCTAGCTCAAAGCTGCTTACACTTGAAAATCGAATAAAAGCGGCAATATGGAACTTGAAACATGTTGTAAATGCTCTAAAAGGATAAGCATATTTGATTACCCTCGAATAGGTAGGTAAAAGGTTAGATACAGCTACTCAAAACATTAGTTCCAACTAAGCCAGGATAAAAGTAGCCCCTCCCAACCATCAAAGTACCGAATAGACTTTTGTATCTTTTTATCTTTTTAAACGCATATCTTACTAGTTTGGAGCATTGTTTTGATGACAAATGTGCTATTTTTGGTCTACGACACGTTTTTGCTTAAAAACAGCGACTGATGAAATCTTTTGAGTCAATTTTAGCTCCTTTTAGATGTAAAACTTTGATTATTGTTGTTTATGCACTAAAGATCATCAGAAGCTTTGAAAAAATCAAAGATTTTATCGAACTTTAGCTAAAAACCGGCATTTTCCCCCACCTTCTTGCTTGTTTTTGTTTTGTAGCCAACTTTTCTGCCAGATATTTGATTGTTCTTTTCTAATTTTTCAATTCTCAGGCAGAATGGCAGAACTTCCAGTCGAGGCCCCCCCCCCCCCCCCCCCCCCCGCCTCCTCCCCCTCCTTTTTTTTTTTTTTTTTTTTTTTGGTTTGGCCCCTTTTTTTCCTTTTTTTTTTTGCTTCGGGGGGGGGGGGTTTGTTTTTTTTTTTTGTTCCAACTTTTCCCCCGGTTTTTTCTTTCAACGAAAATTTCTGGATACAATGATGGAAATGCTGAGAAAGCACAGGGTTGTGTGTTGTGTTGGTGATCTTGCTCTTGAAGGTCCAATTATTGCTATTGGATAAGAATCGACGGGGATCGTGACTGTATTTATTTTGTGAATGATTACTTTTTCTTCGCCAAATATGTTTCATCAATTCAAGGAAAGTTTATCCAACCTTATTTGTTGATGCATTGAATACTTTGTATTTTTCAGATTACTGTTATGACAGCATTTACCTATTTGATCCAAATAAATTTTGCAAAAGTGATCGATTAATTTTGAGAGGATTAAAGATTCCGAACGGTTCTTTTATGTTTGCGTTGATATTTGTATTGACAAAGATATTATATCTATGGAGTGAAAGATAATGCATTATTTATTGTCGTTTTGATCGAACTAATCTTTCAATTTTCAGGGAGAATGGGGGAACTTCCATTTGAGATGCCCGATATTCGTAATTTCCCGATGGAAAAGCTTTGTTACGATTTGAAGTTGGAAATCTTGGAACGAATGGATCCCAAGGACATCATTGAATTGATGAAGAGTAACAAGAAATTCCGCGCGATCCTCATCAATCGACCGTGGATGATTTTTGGCGAACATGTACATTCGATAATTTTCCGCCCAATGCACATTGTCGAGATCAAGAAACACCCGGGCTCTTCGATTTTCATCGATCTCCGTTGCGAATCAGTTCTCTTGAAGAGAATCACAAGCTGCGTTCAGTTTATCCGAAGAGATATCGAGAGTGATGTCGAAAAAGAGACAGCATTGGAAATTCTCGAAAAGTTGGGTTCTGTTGGGGAAATCCAAATGATGTTGGACAATTCAGCGATGCGCCAGCATTTTGCCATCTTCAAAGGAAAGGTGACCGAGCGAATCTTTTTGGATCTCACTTGGTACACGTGGAATATGGACAATGAAAGTAATCGCTACCTGACGAACCTCTTCGAAAGTCAGCTTGAAAATTGCAAGGAGATTTCGATGAACGGACATGGAAGCCAATTCTACTTCCTTCGGCAGTTTCTTCTGAAAACAAACGTCAGGATGATTGCGTTCACTGTTGCTGAGGAACAATCTTCTGACCAGAAGTCAGCGGATCTCGTAGCCGGTTGGATAGCCAGCAGGGGGATACCGAGTCGAAATCAATACCCTTCAATCTTGCTCACATTCACGCCAAACAACCCGCTCGGTAATTTCCTCGCTGCAACTCCCGGACTGCAACGAATTGGAGAGTTGAGCTCAATCAGTGAAACTCGAGAATTGATGAACGAAATGTGCAAAAAGTACCCGATTTCAGACTGTTACTACATGTCCGTGAAGTTTCTCGAGGTCTACAAGCAGAAGATAGACGATGAACGCGATTGTATCTACGTCATTTCGACGTTTGAATCTAGATATGGCAGCAGTGCACGTCTGCAGTTCTTTGCCAAATACGTGCCCGCTGAGCAGGAGCCAAAAAGGATGGAATGAAAAAATTACTTGCCTAAAACAAATTACAAAAATTATTTGCCAAATTACTCTGATTAGATTTTTTTGTTAATTTTTGTTTCTCTTGTTGTTATTCTGAATTTTGGTTTGGATGTTATAAATTTTTTACTTTGAAAGCGTTTTAATTCGATTCGTGGTCAAATGAACCATTGAAAATTTTGTTTTGGATCTTTCACCTGTATATATGTTTTTATGGTGAACAAAATTTTGTTGTCAAAGTAAAATAGTTGGATAAATTCTAGTTATCGATTGATTTAGATATAAATTCAACTACTTTAGCAACAAAATTTTCCCAATCGAACTAATCTTTGAATTTTCAGGTAGAATGGTGAAACTTCCGCTCCCACTACCGAATCTTCGCAACTCCCCAATAGTCAAGCTTTGTTACGATTTGAAGTTGGAAATCTTGCAACGAATGGATCCAAAGGACGTCATCGAATTGATGAAGAACAACGTGAAATTTCGATCGATTCTCATCAATTGGCCATGAATGGAGGTCGGAGAACACGTCGTTTCGATCATCTTTCGTCCAGGCTACGTTGTTGAGACGAAATTGTCGCGGATGTTTGATCTCCGTTTTGAAATTCCCTCTTCAAAAAATGATCTCGGAAATGCTCGAATGTTTAGCTTCGGTTCAGGAGATCAGACCCGTCAAAGACTATGAGGCTCTTTGCAAATACTTGTTGATATTCAAGGGAAGCATCGTCAGTTGAGTTCATTTGGATCTCATTTGGTATCAATGGAAGGAAGATGATGAGAATTATCGCTTTCTGTTTAACCTATTCCAAAACAGGATCAACAATTGCAAGTTCTCGTTGAAAGGACGTGGTGATGGGATTTAATTTTTTACAAGCTTATTCTGGAAACGAAAGTCGGAATGATATTTTTTAATGTCATCAATAAGCCACTCGGAAGGTGATTGGTTGGATTGTCACCAACAGGGGGTGCTTTACGGTTAACGGGGGCCAAGTTTTTGGCCAATTTGCAGCTCATTTTTAACCACCTTAAGGTTGTCAGATCAGGAAGTTTTAATAAGATTTAGATAGCTTAGAACGTCAACTTTTAGAAACTATGTCTTCCATCAAAAGTTGTTAACAAAAACCTATCTAAAATCGGGCTTCAAAATGGCCAAGAACTCGCCCCCGCTCCCGAATTCTATGGCTCATGTGATTTGACCAGCCTATCCAGTTGACCTTCCCTTGTGAGTCTGGCAATTGGAACTCGAGTTTGATTGTACTAAGCTTTTAGATGAATCCGGAAACTTATTATTACTTTAATAGCATCCGATCTGACATCTAGCATTAAACGGAACGTTGTACTAAGATTTTTTTTACGTTTTAAGATGTCGGATTAGTTTTTGTGAGTTTATAAACGTTTAAATCTTTAAATTTATTTTCCAACTGCAATAGATTGAAGACAAAAATGGATTAATAAAAGTTTTTGATGAAGAGATTTCAATTTCAATATTCAAAGCCAAGATTCAGATAAGCAATTCAGAAAAGCAAAATAATAACGAAATTTTTCTCAAAATTGGAATTTCCAATACTCAAAAGCTCACAAAACTTGTCAAAGGTTTACCTAGAAAAAAATGGAAACACCAAAAGAAATCAATGTCGATGTGAAATTCGATGGAAAAATAAGAAAATTTTGCTAAACAACAGAAATGACATGATTGGAAACATTTTTTGGGGCTGAAAACGGAAAATTATGTAGAAAATGAGTGAAAATTGGGGTTTTGCTTATCAGATCGTGAAAGGGTAAGAAGAAAAATTGGATATTTGCAATTTTGTTTTCTAAACCGTGCCTTCTTTCTCTTTCTACCGTAATCTTGTCTCATTTTTTATTCAATTTATCCACTTTTATGGTCGTATTCTGCGAGTTGTTCACAGGGATATCGAAAGATACAAAAAGTGAATAGTTTGGATAAAAATTGAGACAAGATTACGGTAGACGACGACCAAAAACCTATTCAGTGAGGCTAAACTCTGGATAAGCTACCCTAATCTGGCCTGGTTTTTTAAATCTGGCGTAAATCTTTCATAAATTGTATTCAAAAGTTTGCTTCTGTTCTGAAAGCTGAGAAATTACACAGAAAGTAGACTTGAGTCGTGAAAAAAGGGGAAAGGGGATACGCTCTAGGAAACGGTTTAGGAAAAGGTTTAGGGAAACGGTTTAGGAAACGGTTTAGATGAGAGCTAAAACAGGGTTATTCCAGAAGCCGAAAGTCATCCTAGTCTTTTGCTTTGTTTTGGTCAAAGCGGAATTCAAAACTGAATTTGAGTTGGCCCAAAGCCAACCTTTTGCTTTAACTTTGGCTTTGCTGACTTAAGAAAATTGGTGTCAGGGGAAGAGTTTTGTAGCATCAACTCTAATCATTACTGGTCGACGAATGCTCGATTTCGGCAGCTGAATGACTCTCGGTCTCGAGGAAAACCGATGATTTCTGTCGTCGTTCTCGGCCGAGTGAATGACGACGTTGTTCCCATCTAGAAAATGGATAATCTACAGTTATAGCGCATAATTATAGGTGCAGTGGCTTATCATCTATTATTATTAACTATCTAGTTCTCCTGGAAGCTGAAATTTTGCTCTTAGTACAAAAGCATTTCAAAAATCAAATTTAGTCATTTCGAGAAGACGGGGCTCCGGCTCACAAAGCCAATAAGGTTCAAGGTTTTTATAAAATGAAGTTTCACAATTTCATCTCTTTTTCTGAAGCTCACCGGATCTCAATCCGATGGATTACTCTGTCTGATCCATCTTTGAAACAAAAGCCTACTCAAAACTGCATAAAAATTTTGAAAGTTTGAAGAAAAGTCTTGTGAAAGTCTTGGATAAACTATGATGATGCTTACTGGATAAACTATGATGATGGTCGCCACTAGAAATGGGAAAATTCCAACGCGAACCTAATTCCACCTTCGTTTTCTCGGCCTTTTCTTGGCCGATTGCTCTGAAATTTTGTCTACAAGCTGAGAATGTTGATTTCTATCTGTAGGCAAAATTTCAAAGCAAGAGAACGATGGTGGAATTAGGTTGAGGTTGGAGTTTTCCCCTGTCTAGTCGCCACCGTGGACGCCTTTACTAAACGCTTGACAGTGTGCTCGGCTAAAAATATTGCTCGCTTTGAATTTAATTCTTAATTTGCTGTTGATTGATATCAAATAAAGATTTTAAAACAAAAGTTTGCTGTTTAAAGTTTAAAGTTTAATTTTTTCTACCTACAAAGCTTTTTATCTGCACCTATAATTATGGGCCACTCTGTACAATCGTTCTAGGAGTTCTAGAGCTTTCACTTTTCTTTCAGTTGCTTTATAGCAATCTAAGAGCCTTGATTTTCCAGTTTACCGTACTTGTTTGATCTGTGAAAAGAGCTTTTCTATGAAAAGCTTGAGGACTTTTCTATGCAAAGCTTTAGAGCTTTTCTATTTTTTCTCACCTTACGGCTTTCCCAATCGTTTTCCCAATTCTTCTTCCAACGGAAAGACTTTTGATAGGATTCGGCTCATCGTCGACGAAACGAGCGATCGGAGCTGGAGAAGCCAATGGGGATGGTGGGATTTTCTGGAACTGAACAATTGATTGCTTAAAAAATACCGAATAGCGATTTTTAATGGTGTAAATTGAGACTGGGTGGGTTCTGAAAGCGTTTTCTCAGAGTCAACTCAAAAAAACACTCCTCTTCATTTCAAAATTTGGGCAATTGAATGAAAGCTGGTGGTTGGGTGATAGCTTTCTTTCTTCTTTTCCTTTTTCTCTTAGCAATTTAAGGTATTGGATAGCTCAGTGGTTAGAGCAATTGCCCGGGAAAGAAAAGGTCGGCCGTTGAATCCGATCTCCGGAAATCTACTTTTCCTCGCAAATTCCTTTACTTCTTTATTACGGTAAACGGCTTGAGATTTGAGAAAATGGATTATTTGAGAGGAAAATGCTCAGTGAATCTCGTAGAGCCATTAAAACTCATTGTAATGAGACTAACCGGTGGTGCCGTCATGGGCGCTGATGGCCATCTCATCGCCGGTAATGGGGATCGGCCACGGCGTCGGCGTCGCGGTTTCTTTAGCATGTTTGCCTGAAAAAAAAGAAATGGCTAATTGAATTAGTTCCATTACTTCTAACTTGCTTCAAATCTGCCGAAATGACATGATCTATAGCACATAGGCACTATAAACTACAAAAATGACGACCTCTCAACAATAAAACGCTTCTAACTTGCTCCATAACTGTCTGATTGAGACGATCTATAGCTCAAAAAGTAGAGAACCTCAAGAATGAACACTATGACTCAACTCAACTTTCGAATGAACTAAAGTATACCAAAAATGATTGCTTCTAAAGAAAGTTGTAGCCGAAACGGACCGTCGAAGCTACAAAACAATATGACTTTCTTTAGAATCAACATTTTTTGGTGTACTTTGGCTCATTCAAAAGCTCTTGAAATTCTCTATCTTTTGAGCTATAGATCGTGTCAATCCGGCAGTTTTGGAGCAAGTTAGGAGCGTTTTTAGTTTCCGTTTGCAATTTGTAGTGCCAATGTCTATTATGCTAGTAAAGATTTGCAAAATTTAGCAAATTTTCAAATTCAAATTTAAATTCAATCCAAAATTGACTTTTCATTCTAAAGCTAAAGGGTAATTGTAAGAATTTTTCGTAAATTTTTGCTAGCTGCGATTTTTTGAGAGTCCTTAAAGTGAAAATTGACTTTTTCAATGTAATTTCGTTTTTTTTGAGCTAATTTGAGCCTAATTTGAGCCAAGTTTGAGCTAATTTTGTTAAAATTTTGTTATTTCTTTTGTTAATTTAGCGTTTTTTTAGATAGCTTTACTCGAGAAGAGCCACAAAAAATAAAAAAACAAAAAAAAATCGGCAAAAATGAAACCAGAAGAGAAATTCGATACTTACAAAAAAGAAAATTCAAGAAAATTTTCGAAAATACTGGACAATGAAATATCATATTTGAAAAAACACTTTCGCACTTTCGCGCGTCTGTAACTCCCTTGTCTTTACCGTATTTCTAAATATTAATATTACCATTGTGTAGCCCTTGAAAAGAGCTTTCAGAAAATGTATAACACTAATAGTTTAAACCCAAAGACAAGGGAGTTACAGACGCGCGAAAGTGCAAAAGTGTTTTTTCAAATATGATATTTCATTGTCCAGTACAGTTTTTCTAGTTTTGTTTTTTTTAAATCGAAATCGATCATAGAAACAGAAATAGAAATAGAAATAGAGAAATAGAGAATTTTCGCTCAGCCACAGAAGAAATGCGATGATGCACAAAAGCACACACAAACACACGGCCGAGATGGGTAGTGAAGGGAAATACGGCTTGAATTTGGTTCTTTTGCAAATGCGACTAAACCTACAGTAATCCTGGAGGTCACACTATAAAATAGAGTATTTTATAGGGAAAATACTGGCGATTTTTTCTTGACGAGTTTCTGCCGAGCTATAATGCACCCTCGCTACAGTAGCCGTTTCCCGTCAATGCCCAACTTTTTATAAGATTTATATTTATATAATTTGCATATAATAAAACTAAAGATTCACTTGGATCAATTGGCTTTTTAGTTTTTAAACAAAAAAAACAAGAAATCACAGAACACCGGGACGAAAAAAATGAAATAAAACGGGTGGAGGGTTTTGAGAAATTTGGAATTTGATTTTTTTTGATTAATTTTCATTTTAATGCATCGAATGCCTTCCAGGATTTCGATTTTTAAAGGAAAATTGGCTTTTGTGTAGTTTCCGAGTATTTTGAACGGTTCGTCACTCTTTAAAGGCCTATAACTTTGTCTAGAGATTGGATTTTTATTAACTTTTTAAATCATTAGATAGAGAACATTTCAGCCTTCAAATGATACCAAATAGAGCTTGATTGGGTAATCGAGTCAAAGAAAATCAGAGCCAACTCTGAGCAAAGGAGGCAAATGAGGCCTATCCAACTCGGGTATCTTGTCGCCTTGTTTGCAAAGGGATGCAAAAACCGAATCAAGTTCTATTTGGTATCATTTGAAAGCCTGAAATGTCCTCTGTCCAATGAGCTAAAAAGTTAACAAAAATCCAATCTCTAGACAAAGTTATAGGCCTTTAAACCAAAGACAAGTTGTCATGCACTTAGCAAAGACTTCAACTCACCCCCTCCTTCTCCTCAATTCTTCCAAAAACTCTCAATCATCAACAGCATTGTCTTGTACATGATTTCCACTAATTGCACTTGGTATATTTCAGGCTTTCAAATGATACCAAATAGAGCTTGAGTGGATATTTAATTTGCGTGCAAACAAGGCGACAAGACACCCGAGTTGGATAGGCCTCATTTGCTCAGAATTGGCTCTGATTTTCTTTGATTCGATTACCCAATCAAGCTCTAGTTGGTATCATTTGAAAGGCTAAATATCCTCTATCCAATGATATAAAAAGTTAATAAAAATACGATCTCTAGACAAAGTTCTAGGCCTTTCAAAGAGTGACGAGCCGATGAAAATCCCCGAATTTTTCCCGAAATACGAAATCTCCAGATTCTTTCAAAATACCCGTAAAATTTCCGGAAAATACCCGAAAGAGCCGGAGAAATTGATCGCATTTTCGAAGAAAATAAAGATTCAATTGGATATTTTGAGAAAATTTTTGGGTAATTTTTGGATTTTGAGCTGAGATTTGCATTATTGAAAATGGAAATAAAAATTTTCAAAAAAAATTTGCTTAAAACCCTCTCTTTTCTTATGATCGGATTGGAAATATCAAAAATTTACATCAAAGAAAAAGAAAAATCGGTTTTTTTAACTTAGATTAGTCGATTTTCAATGAAAATTTGAATAGAAATGTAAAATCGCAAAATCCTAATCTAGAAAAACGCAAAAAAAAAGGAAAAATCGTATCGGCAAGAGATTTGTACAAGAAAAGAAACGCCTAGAAGAGAATAAATCTCAAGAAAAGTACAAAAAAGGCATTTATTTAAAAATCTATTTGAATAATTAAATATTTGAGTTTCTATAAGCTGGATGAGTTACCGTAACCCGAGATTTGAAATTGACAATTTGAGATTTCTAAAGCAACCCTAGTCTGCCGTGAGCTCCAGATGGGACAAATCAATTCAAAAATTGCCTTGTTTTCTTAAAGCTGACCCTTTTATAGTAGTCCGAAAGTTTCTTTGCCTTTGCTAGCTTGGAAAATCCACCGTAACCCTTCCTGCTATCCAACTTATAGAACCACAACAAAAGTACGCTTGAAAAACATCGGATTCCTTAGCGGCTTACTTAGTAAGTACAAGTGGGAGTACGAAAACGAGACAAAACACAGGAATTGTCTTGGAAATTGAATAAACAGATGATCTGGCAAAATTTGTGAATTGCTAAAAAGTGGACAAGTTACAGTAAGATTGGGGCAGTCGTTTTTGATTCGGAGCAATCGGACAAGGAAAAATGACAAATGAATGAATGAAATGTATCGGAAACGTTAGTGTTTTAGGTTTTTGAGGCTATATGAAGCGATACAGTAATTCTGGGAAGATACAGTAAGCTTGGGGTGGTACCGTAATCCTGGAGAGGTACTGTGATCCTGGAAAGATGCAGTAATCCTGGGGAGATACAGTAGTTCTGGGAAGATAAAGTAGTCCTGGGGAGATGCTATGATCCTGGAGAGGTACAGTAATCCTGGGAAGATACCTTAATCCCTGAGGGATACAGTAACTCTGAGAAGATACAGTAAGCTTGGGGAGATTACCGTAATCGTGGATAGATACCGTGTTCCTGAGAAGATACCGTAATCCCCGAGAGATGCAATAACCCTGGGGAGATACAGTAATCCTGAGGAGATCCTGTAATTCTAAGGAGATACAGTAATCCTGAGGAGATCCTGTAATTCTAAGGAGATACAGTAATCCTGAGGAGATCCTGTAATTCCTAAGGAGATACAGTAATCCTGAGAAGATACCGTAATCCTAAGGAGATACTGTAACCCCTAGGAGATACAGTAATCCTGGGGATATACCGTAACCCTGGGGAGGTACAGTAATCCTCGAGAGATGCAATAACCCTGGGGAGATACAGTAATCTTTACAGTACCCCAAATACGGTAAGTTAGCCCTTTTGCTTACAGCCACCCCCTGTCCGGTTCAGCTACAGTAATCCAATCCAATAAAGTTAGAAACAAAGTTTTAAGCCTTTAGCTTTATTGATTCCAAGTAGTAGTTTTCAAAAAAAACCCTCGGTTGCAAATATATTCTAACCAAATCGTTTTCTAAAGGATGCTTTGGGGAACGTATCTATATTTCATACTGTAACTTTGCATGGATTACAGTACGCAGCCCAATTACAGTCGATTCTCGATTTAACGATATGCTCGGAATGCTCAGAACGATAGTACTTAGCTTAGCATGGATTAAGGCTTAAAAGGCTAACAGTAAAGAGTACAGTAACTTTCCTGGTAAGGCCACGTTTTTAGAAAATGATTTACGGGGATAGAGTTTATCCAGTTAGCCACCATACCCTAGACTTCTCCAGTTTACAGTACGCAGCCCAATTACAGTCGATTCTCGATTTAACGATTTGCTCGGAACGCTCGGAACGGCTTACTCGGATTTAATGATTCTAAAATGTGCCCTAAATTTCTTGCGCAGCTGCCCCAAACGATAGCGTTCGGCTGGACAGAAACCAAGAGCATATTTTAGAATTTGAGATCGTTTTATTGAGAAAATCGTTGTATTGAGAGTCAACTATACTTCAGATCTTCCCTTATTTACAAAAAAGCGTCCGCCTCGTCATTACTATCAGTTTCATCTCCTCCCGGTCCTCTTTTCCCCCCTCTGCCGCCTCTTTTGAATGTGCTCGTTGTGTGGACTGCGCCGCCTCCTCTCGTGCTCGCCGCCATCTCATCATTGCCCACACTCCGTCCACCTCCACCTATCGCTATTTGTTGCCCTTGATTCCTTTTCTTCTTCGCTTTCTTCAGCATTTGCGCCTGGAAAAATGGGATCAAGCGTTATTTTTTTTTAAAGGTTTTAGTTTCATCTCTTTGCCAAGACTCTCTTTTTCCTGATTTTTGGAATTTTTCGCCTATTTTTGT